TGTAATGATTATTTATAATAGTGAAAAAATAAGGGAAAAGTTATTTAAATGGTCAACTGATTAAAGTATTACATAGACATATACTATAAAGTCTTATGGATATCTAACAAAAAGGAGCAAAAATGACATGGAAATATGTTCATGATATGAAAAGCAGTTAATAAAAAAGAACATTTGACCTCATTTTTGGAAAAATATGTAATGAAAGTATCAAAAATGAGAATATCATTATTAATTAATTCAAAAATTAATTACTGAAATCCTTTTGTGTACCAGGTAATGTGCTGGGTACAGAAGATACAGAGTAGACCAGCTTTCAGATACTGGACAGATTAGGTAATTATAAGACAAGGGAAACAGACTTATATATAACTTATATATGTGGAGTACAGCACAGGGAATAGAGTCAATGGAATTATAACAGCTATATACGATGTCAGAGGAGTAGTAGATTGGGGGAGGGGAGTAATCACTTTGTGAAAGGTGAAATGTCTATTACATTGTTTTGTACACCTGAAACTAATTTTTTTAAATGGGGGACGGGGAGGGGAACTTATATATAAGACCAAAAGAACTATTAACTGCAATGGTACGATAGTAGGCTGTGTGTAAATAATAATCACCAGAAATTCCTCCCATTCTGACTGCTCATGCCACTCCTCCCATCAAAAGTAGAGTCTATCTCTCCATCCTCTGTAACTTGCTTTGATTTAAGTACAATGTGGCATAAGTGACACTGTGCCAGTTCCAAGCCTAGGTAGTAAGAGACCTGAAATTTTCTACTTTTGCTTTCTTGCTACCCTGAATTGCCATGTACTTCAAGAGAGTCCAAGATTATCTTACCGGCAAGGAACACCATGTAGAGAGAGAGACCCTGAAGTATGAGTGACAACAGGTGGAGATAGCACCAAGATGAGAACTAATGTAGCTCGGAAGACAACCAACATCACAGGCCCAGAAAGGAAGTGTAGGGCATCTTAGAGCCTTCGGCCTAGTCAACCTGCCTCAACTGACAGATGAAAAAGATGAGTTGTCACCACACGACCAAATGTCTAGCCCACAAAATCATAAACAAACAAATAAGCACATTGAGGTGATCTGTCATGCTACAATACATAAATGAGACAAAAAAAAAAAAGGGTACTGCTGTAACAGAAACCTAAAAGATACAAATTGACTTTTGGGACACAGAGACAGGCAGCAGCTAAAAGGATAGCAAGGAGACTGAAAACTGGAAAAGTAGTAAGGAAACCACTATAGGAGGCTTGAAAAGGGTGACCCATGTTATATACTGACAGAATAATTAGTATAATTGTCACATGAATAACTTGGAATATTAAAAAGATACATAGTGAACCTGTAGATCTAGAGAAGACTTCCAGGCAACATATTTAAAGTGTCAATGTCTTCTTTATAGCAAAGTATAATAAGAAGGTACAAAAGAAAAACATGAGCTAAAGAATTAAAAGCAGAATTAAAAAAAAAAAAGTTGACACTTGAACACAGGTTTGAAGTAAGCGGGTCCACTTATATGTAGATTTTTTTCAATACATATAGTACTATAAATGTATTTTCTCTTCCATATGATTTCCTTAATAACACTTTTTCTCTAGCTTAGGTACTTCATTGTATGAACACAGTATATAATACATATACAAAATATGTGTTAATTGATTGTTAGTTACTGGTAAGGTTTCTGGTCAACAGTAGGCTATTAGTTAACTCTGGGGGGAGTCAAAAATTATATGCAGGTTTTTGGCTGTCCATAGGGTTGGCATTCCCAACCCCCATGTTGTTCAATGGTCAACTGTATTTCTAAGGAGTTGATTGGCTGGAAAATAACTGTTTCTCATAACTAGCCTCTACTGGTAGCAAAATATTGTCAGAGAAACAGCATGAGCACAAAGATCAAATCCAGAGCGCTGCCAATAAAACATGGGCTCACGTCATCAAGTCAAAAATGCATCTGTAAGATCCTTTAAGACCTCAGAAAGATTTAGGACAGTGCTTACATACTCTCAGGAAGGCAAATGGGCTTCTAAGAAACTTTCGGGATCCAAAGGAGAGAGAGTCCTCTCTCAGAAAGAAATGTGGATGTGATTTTTGCCTAATAGAATGCACTTGTAATCTGATATACAGAAAACCCACAAAGTGTTTAGTGGAATTTTTTAGTTTGGGGGAAAAAAATACTGTTCCAAATGAAAAGAGGCCTTTAGGCTTTTAAACTGTCACACACATGAAGCAGACTGAAACTGTGCTCAGGTATAAACAAGGCTCATTTCAGGGAGAAGAGCCAAGAGCCCAAAGGACTCAGCCAAGAGCTGAGAAAAATAATGAATTATGAAAGCCACTACCAGAAGACAGAAACAAGCTGTAATCTAGGACATTATCTGTTCTCTGGTTAGATTTCAGAATTGCTTTGAACCAATTACTTTGGACTACATGCTTCCCATTCTTTTACTCTCTAATAGCAGTATCTGCTGTCCCTGTCTCAAAATTATATATTAAGTGTATGGGGACGTGGGGGCTATAACTTGTCTTCTTAGTTAACAGGTATCCAAATCAAAAGAGTTGTAACCCAGCAGCCTCATCCACATGCAGATCATAAGATAATGGACTTTGAACCTGAGGTCATAACTGGATGAGATTTCTGGGCATCTTAGGAGTGTGGACTGCATGTTGGGAGAGATGTGAACTGTCCACCAGAGGAAGAACTGCGATAGTGCCACCTACAAAGATGGCTGTCAACATTCCTCCTATTCCAGTATACACATGCTGCTCCTCCCATCAAAAGGTGGAATTGATTCCTCCTTCACTTAAATCTTGGCTGGCACTGTGCTCTGCTTTGAAAAACAGAATGCAGTGAAAATGATGCTGTATAGTTTCAGGCCTAGAACATAATAGGCTAAGAAACTTCTTGCTACCCTGAATCACTATGTGTGGAAATCTAGGCTATCTTTCTAGAGAGGCCAAGAAGAGAAAAAAAGCCCTGTTTGATAAACAAACAGGGCACATAAAACATAAAAGAGGTGCCTCAACTAAAAGCCCCCACTAAGGCCATCTTGGATCTTCTAGCCCCATTTGAGCCACCTCAGTCAACATCTTGGGGACCACAGTGAGGTGTTCCCTACCCAAACTCCTGACCCAAAAATTGTGAGCAATAAAATAGTTGCGATTTTAAGCCACTAAGTTTTGGAGCAGTTTGTTACCCAGTGATGGACAACTAATACAGGTAGTGAGTGTAGCAAAGCCTACAAAGGAAAAGTATTGGATATTTTCTGAGTCAATATTAGGGATGCTAATGTAATCTGCAAGATAGGGAAGGTTTTCTTGAGAAGTGATATATTTAACAGTGGTTATTTAACACTATTTAATCAGGGGGAATTAAGAACAGAAATTTTGTTTGTTGGTTTCAAGTTGTCTAAATTTTCCACAGGGTACATGTTTTACTTTTGAAATAACAACAAAAATGCCATTTTGTTAAAACCTCCTTAAGGATGTTGCTGGCAGCTTGTTGGTCCTATTGTATTGAAATCTATTAAGTCTAAAATATATATTTTCTAATGAGAAAATATGCAAACATTCAGCAAATAACAGAAGTTTTCTGTTATCCTATGTAGTTGAAAAATAGAATGTTCTGCGTACACTAACATTTCAAAAAATAACCATTATATATAGGTTTAACAATTTCTGAAGAATTAGAATTTTTAAAACACAATTTACCTAAAATTATACTGCTTATAATATCACACTTATTTTTTTAAACTTCTCCATATTTATGTATCTCTTCATAGTTGTCACTGTGAACAAATATGGATAGCTAAGACTAACAGAAGTAAATAATACTTTGATAACAGAATTATAGAAGTAATCCAGAAAGACCGTAATAATGGACTAAAACCAACAAGAAAAATTAAACAGAAGTAATTGAGAAGACATACATGTAGGGTTAAAAAGACATCAACCACAAAAGTATAAAAGGATAAAATAATCCAGCTTAACAGCATGAAACAATCTTGGGTTTTAGCTGACCACGGTACATTAGCCACATAGAAAATGTTAATGTAATCTCGAACTTCATTAATATAATTAACTAACAAATATTTACTGAGAACCTAAAATGAACCACATTCTTTACTAAGAGAATACAGTGATGAAATCCAGAGAAGGAATAATCTCACCATATTTAGAACTATTCAAACATATATAGAATATTATGTTCATATAAAGGAAATGGTTGAAAAAATGACAGAAATGTAGCCTATAAAAGGAAGGCTTTCTAATTTGAATACTGCCCTAAAAGAAAAAAGAAAGCTTTTAAAACAATTCTTTCGTTTTACCAAAATAAATTAATGACTACTGTGTGATGGGCACGGCTAGGCACTAAGGTATAAGTGGAGAACAAAATAGAGACGGTCTCTGTCCTTACTCTACTTACAGACTACTGAGTACCCTATCACTGGAGGACCTTGAACAGGTATCTAATAATACCCTGTTAAGCATATTATAAAAGAGATTCACGTACTTTGTGTAAGGCTGAAATAAATGATCTCCAATGTTACTCCCAAATCTAAAATTTTATTATTACTTACAGCACCATACTATAAAAGAATGAAATTGTTATTTTGAGATAAATGTCTAATGAGTAAAATAAGCAAACCAATACACACATACATACACACATACGTATACACACACACACACACACACACACACACACACACACACACACACACACACACACACAGTGTGTTTTGTTTTTTATATTTCTACCTAATAAAACAACCAGGTCAATTCATATGTTCAGCCTTCATAGGTGAACTACTCAAGACCAACTTCAATCAACATTAAGAAAATCCAACTTCAAATTTTTATTTCATTTCAAATAAAAAAAATTTTTTAATCTCCTTACTCTAATGATTAGCTTACTCTAGTTAAAATAATTCCAAAGAAATTAATATCTATTATTTCTCTGGGATTTCTTATATTAATCAATATACCTTTCCATGGCTTTAGCTGTATAAGGCAAATGCATTTCAATACTGTGTTCATCTTCATCTGTCTGCAGAGACATGCGTTCAAACATTCCTGTCTTCCATAGTTCTCCGTAAACTAAAGAGATTTCAAAATATAGTAAAACAAATATATTAATGTATATCCTTATCCTGCGAGACTACACCCAGTAATACAAAACTACATGCTGTGGCAAGAGACAGACGCACCACATAATATTCTCCTTCATTTTTCCTCTATTATTATTTAAAAACAAACAAACTAGCTTTTTACATACCAGACAAAACAATAGTACAAGTAATAATTTACTCAGCATTTTTATATGTTACATAGTTATATAAAAATAATAATTTAAATTTTTCATCAGTTCCTTTCATTATCTCTAAAATCAGCTCTAGGTCTAAGCATTTTCTTAACTTTAATCAGTGCATGCTAACAAGAGAATAGTTGATTAGAACTCCTACTGAAATACCTACTAGAAAAGCCACGTGTCTACTTACTCATGAGGTTAATAACATAGTTTTTGACTGTTTTGCTATTTAATAAAATGTATAAAATTATTATCTCACACCCCAGGTTTCTGCCATAGTAAAAACAGAAAATTCCCACTAACAATGCTATTTTCCTCAAGATTAAAAATTAAGCTTTGGAATACACCAGAACATAAACTCACCACTGTACCATGCCATAAATGATATTAAAATGATCTAGTAATTCAGACCCTTCTAATGAATTATACTTAAAATTAGATATTGTACAGCAAGACAATGAAGTTTTTAATATATAAAAAATTATGAGTATTTTTGTCTTATCATAGAATAGAACCAACATTTTTATAACTACATCAAGAATGGGTTTACCAATATCAAAGAAATAACTACAAATGGTGTTATGACTTTTTTCTACAAAATTATACCTGATTAAAAACTTTCTATTCCTTCATTGGCAAGCTATCCAAAATTTTCTGGATGCCCCAACAAGGTTTTAAAAATAAAGTGTGTCCCCTAAAACCATTACCAGGAGTAAGACTAGTAATACTCTAGCTTCATTAATAAGATATATTCTAACAACAAATTGCTAATACTTCATGATATGTATCCAAATTATGAAAATTTAGGCATAAAAAATAAGGAAAAAGAGGTGATCATTTCCTTTGAAAATGGCTTCTTTCACCCTACAGAAGTTTTTTGTTTTGTTTTTCTTAATTGGGGAGCAGTGTGTTTTTCCAGGACCCATCAGCTCCAAGTCAAGTAGTTGTTTCAATCTAGTTGTGGAGGGCGCAGCTCAGATGTCCATGTGGTTACTGAACCAGCAACCTTGGTGTTGTGAGCACTGCACTCTAACCAACTGATCTAACAGGCTGTCCCTACAGAAGTACTTTTTGCAAAATCTCTTGGAATAATAAGAACTCAACATACTTAAAATATAATTTGATGAACTGGAAGGATACACACCAAATCTATAAAGATGGTTACTTGGGGAATATAAATTAAGTTCAGGTGTGGGGAAAATTCTAAGTCAACTGTGGATGATGAGTACATGAACCTTTGTAACACTAGTCTCTCTACTATTCTGAATGACAAAGTAACCGCTTGAGCTAAAGCCGATCCCGTACTATTCTGTATTTCTTAAATTATGCTCCCCCATGCCTCCAAAAATACTGTTTAAAGTCAAAAGGTTTTACTTTACACATTCAATATATAAAATGAGACTCAACTAAATAAAAAATAAGATTTCTGAAAGCCTATAAAAAAATAAATCAAAAGAGTTGTTTTAAAAATAAAATACACTTAAGATTTATTTAGCACCTTTCAGAGTTCCACAATTAGTCTCATTTTCCCATAAAAATCATTTGAGAGGAAATAAAGGCATTATCACCATTATCTATGCACAACGAGGAAAGCAATACACACAGAGGTGGATGGACTAACATGCCCAGAATCTTTCATCGAGTTGTTGCGGGTACTAATTTCTTGTCTCATGGTACAGTGAGTGCATGGTACTTCCCCGAATATAAATGCAACCGCTACAGTCTGGAGATTAGTATTTATCTGACAGATTTTCGTGGTTGGCAGAAAACCTGTGGTTGTCTTTAGGCATATGGAAGATTTTCTTTCTTTGTTTTTATTTTTTGTAGATTAGTTACAACAAATTTTATTTTTAAAATTGAGATGTTACTTAGGATATTCATATGTTTAATTTTTTAATTAACTTAGAATTCCTATTAAAAAACCTTTAGCTGTTTAAAAGCTGTAAGATTTCTATATACTTACTCTTTTGGTCAATACGAAGGTCATACAGAGGTGTCCTATATATATCCACACTGGAAAGTGCACACCGAGAGAGGGGCACATGATGAGAAGGCCCAAGGATGAAAATTCTCCGGCTAGGAGATACACAACAAAAACACAGAACAATTGCACGTCTACACAAACCGTATTAAATAAAAGGAAAAGAATAAGTAACTTCTAAAAATTACATGTAGACTGTTTTCCTTGATTGATTTCATTGCCTATTATGTCCTAAATTGTGTTCCCTTAAAATTCATAGTACCTCAGAATGTAATTGTATTTGGAGATAAGGTCTTTTAAGAGGTGATTAAATTAAAATGAGGTCATTAGGGTAGGGCCTGAATCCGATATGACTGGTGTCCTTACAAGAAGACACACCAGGAGAGCACATACACAGAGAGGTGACCACGTGAAGAGGCAACAAGAGGACACCCAGCTGAAAGCCAAGGAAAGAGGCCTCAGGAGAAACCAACCCTGCCAGTACCTTCATCTTTCCAGAACTGTGAGAAAATAAATTTGTTGTTTCAGCCACCTAGTTCGTGTTATTTTGTTATGGCAGCACTAGCAAACCAATATACCTACTAATGATTTCCTCCTCAGCTAATTAAGTTCATTTCCTTATCTCTGTCTTTTTGTTGAAAGGCCTTTAAAAGAACCACATTCAACACCTGGAAATATCAGTTACTGATTATCTACAGTAAATCATCCTGCTATGCTTAAAATCATCTCTGTAATCACAATGGCTAGTTTATAGAAGGTTTTCAATAGCTATAATAATTGAACTTTAAACATTTCAGCTATTAAATAAAATCTCAAAATTCTAAAACATTCTAAACCAGCCTTCTAAGGTCTACTACAATTTTAATAAAAATACATAATAGTATAAATTCTAAAAATCCATACAAAATATCATTACAAAGAAGCATTCTGATAAACCTATTTCCACATTTCTTCCATGGCAGAGAAAAAAGGCATCTTGTTGAGAAGAATTCTGTGTAATAAGCTTTTTCTGTTCTCAATCAAATGGAAGTCATTCCCAAAGACAAAGAAACTTGATTCTGTGTTATTTGCACTGTAGGCTAAAGAGAAGGACTGGGCTAAACTGTAGCTTAAATCTTTACAATCCTTTTATCCTGACATCAAGAGTAAAATTAACTTCCTTTCATTTTATCTCAAACATCCCTAGAACCTAAATTCTAAAAGTATCCATTTTCTCTGTTCTCCCAGATTCATATGAAATTTACACACACACACACACACACACACACACACACACACACACACACACACACACACACTTATAGACCCAAAAAACCCACAAAATTCTAAGAAAGATGTAAATAAATGATAGGCTATCTACATAGAAAATTTACTACTCATTGTTCAATGAAGGGACAATGACTGAGAGACATGAGCTAATTCTTTTACATCAAAAACTTGCAGACCAAGAAATGTATACTTTAGCAATATATTTATTTTGATAAAATTCTATTATGGCTAAGAAAATTAACCTATTGTCTGCTATATGTTACCTGCTATTTGGAGGGAGGTTAGGGATAAGAAAGATGTGGACAAGGAAAAGGTGATTCTCGGTTTAGAGCCCCAAAAACATCACACATAGAAAATACATGACTTCATCCACAGGCCACTTCTAGTCAGAAACATATCTCTCCCTGCTCCCCCCACCCCACTCCAATATTCACTTCTTGTTACCACCATTATGATCAATTCTAGTTAACCATTTCAGAAAAAAAAACACACAAATCTATAGATTCTTAAATGAACAAAAGAGATACCACTATGTTCTCCTATCTTAAAAGCACATAAATATCACATTTTTTAAAATTAAAGTCTACTGTGGGACATACATGGTAACTCTGAGTATTTAAGTGATTTGCCTAAGGACAAGTATTTATATGAATCAAGAACCAAGTATGAAAAAAAGGCATTTTTATGTCTGAGGAATAAATTTCTATGAAAAGAAAGAGGGATAGAATATTAATCAGAATACTCCTGGGAAATCCAGGATAATTAAAATATGAAATGTCTTTTAAAATACCAATCTAAACTTAAGATATAGATACATTTCATGGCAAGTGTAACAAGGTTCTCTCACAGTGGCCAAAAGATGAGCACTACTCCAGAAATAAAGGTCAGCTTGGAAAGCCTAACAGCCTCCTCGAATATCTGACTATTTCTTTGCTTGCATTTTTGTCAGACCCAACCTGGCTGAAAAGATGAAGAATGCTGGGGGAAGAGCTCCCTCCAGTCTAAATTATCCAACTGTGTACCCAACAGATTCTTTCTAGTTTTGCAGAAACTCACCCAAAGGCAACATAGTGAAGTTACACATTTGGTTAAGAGAGATAATAAGAAAAAAGAGGCTAAGGTCCCCCATAAATATAAAACCCTTAAAAGTGATGTACCCAAGAACAAACCAAAAAAGCTAGGTATCACTGAAGAGAAGGAAAAAAAAGTGCATATTAAACCAGTAGTAATCACAAAACAGGTCTCTCTGTTAGCTGTATGCCAACCAAAATAATAGTGTAAATAAAACGTAATACATTTTTTTTCTTTTTGATACATTGCTAAGTCCATAAACACCACAGAAAGGCCATGAAAATATTTTGAAGAGAAATGAGTAATGTAAGCATTGGAGGCAATGCCACTTTCTCTCAATTTATTTCTGAAATAATTGCAAGGTGCTTTGTCTTTAAAGAAGTTGACTTTTAAATATTAGCATATCATCACAGTTGTCACACATGTAAAAGAAACCTTTAATATGAAAAAATGGGGAAAAATCAGTATGCATTCTCTTAGGAATAAATGTAGTTCAGATATGATACCTCCAGAGAATTCACATTTATGGAGTTACTATGATGACTGTCATCTGTGCACCCAATACATAAGTTACCTGAATGTCTGATCTCATAAATACTCAACTACTTATTCTAAATAATGGAACACAGTAATTTTTTAAAGGTGCTCCATGGCAAATGGAGATATTTTAACTAAAGAATAAAATATCATGTGGCCCCAAATAAGATTCCTTTTGCTCTCTTTTCCTGCCCTGCAAGATTTTCTGAAAGATATGAATCAAGTTACTGTCTAAGTATATCCCGAGTTCCAGTTTTTAATTAAAGTTTTAGTAATAGGAACAGACTTTGCAACTATAAATATGAAAAAGGACTTAACTATCATTTAAAATTTTTCTTTAACAACCAGAGTACTATTTTTGAAACATAAATTAGATCACATCGCTCCCCTGCTTAAAAAGTCTCAATGGCTCTTCATGATCAGAGGATCAAATCCAAAATCCTTAAAATGGGTTCTAAAGTCTCAAATGAACTAGCCCCTTCTTGAATTCCTCTCCCCTGGATCACAGTACTTTATGTGTACTGGTCTCCTTGCACTTCCTTGATGACACATATAACTTTGCCCACTTCAAAGCTTTCATATGTGCTATTGTTCCTTTTGCCTGGCTTAAAAATCATTTCCTCAGAAATGCCTTCCTCAACACCTTATTCACAGTCGAAGTCCAAACACCCTGTATCACAGCAATTCTCAAAGTATGAACTGTGGATTCCTCAAGGACCTTTCAAGGAGTCCACAAAATCAACAGTATTTTCATAATACAAATACGGTATGTGCCTTTTTCACTGTGATGGTATCTGCATTTATGGTACAAAAGTGACGCTGGGTAAACCGCTGGCACATAAGAAACGCGATCAAGGTAAGAAACGCGATCATGTATTCTTCACCTTCACCCATACCAGGTTTTTTTTTTTAAGGCAAGTGTCACCTAATTTCATTAAATCTTGAACTTTGAGTACAGTTTTATAGAAATATTTTGTATAACAAAATGTATTCAATTTGTGGTTTTAAATGTATAAAGCACTTCTCTCACATACAGACGTTACATAGGGAAAAAATTAGTGATTTTGAGTTGTGAGCTAAACTAGAATTTTTTTCATGGAATGAAATTTTTACATCAAAAAATGACTAGACAAATTTAGGTATTCGGCAGAAATTTTCTAAGAAGATGAAATGGGCCTGCCACTTCAAAGAAAACATTGAAGCTTTTAAGTGAAAATGAGACTTCTGCAAAATTTCTATCACTGTGAGACTGACAGCTTCCCAATAATGAAAGATTTTTCTGATGAAACTGGTAGTGATATTAACAAATGTGATTTTTTGACATTGTATGATGAATGTCAATATTTGAAAGATCTGCCTAAATCAATGCACAAGTTATTTTCCAACTGTTCCATGCAGGATGTTACAAAAATCATGCAAAGGTAAAAGGTCCCTACAAAGTGCAAGATAGCATAGTACACAAGATGATCCTAGTTGACATGGAGACAACGGATGAGTGTGGAAGGTAGAACAGAAGTTAGTGCTATAGAATTTAACTTCCTCTTTTGGACTTATTTTTTCTCTGTACTTCTCACGGTTCCCAAAAGGATTTCTTTGTGTTTTCTCACAGGACTCTGGAGACTGCAAATCTCAGGGACAGCCACTTTCAAAAGAATACAACTATGACTGTGAATTATTATATGTAACACTTAGACCTTCAAGTTTATTTATTCAGAAATCAATTATTATATACTAATTATAAAAGTAAGCTGATTATATCACCATCCGTCATTTGTCTCTCTTTTTACTGATCTCCTTTATCATCTTAGTCCTTGGCTCTCTTCCCTTTTTATTCTTTTTCTGTTTCCTTCCAGCCTCTCTTCCCATCAGCCTATTTAACAAATGCTTTACACTTCTACCAATATTGGCTCTATATCTCTCCATATGTTCCAAGGCCAAATTTAATTCAGGGGTACCCTTCTGGCCCATAACATCAACAAAAATTCTGCCAAACCAAAAAAATTTTAGGAAAAGCTGTTACATAAACTAACCTTGATTATAGCTGGTTTATAGGCCCAGGGTCACATGAAGGAAGCTTCTGAAAATCTTTCCAATTTAATTTCTACTTACTCTTATTCATGAAATAATTTAGTTAAAACTGTATATTAAATACGTATCACGGAACATTTGTTCAAGATGTCCCTCAATTTCATAAATGAGGCAGGGCGAACCAAAGCCTCATCAGTCTGGCAACAGTATCGCTTTATTTATTATTTAAAATTCACTAAAAATAATTTTCAACTAAGGTATATGATACAATGTGCAGAGCACACTACATAAAAACAAAGAAGAGCAGCTTTTTTGTTTTAAAATTTTGAACAAATTTCTCAAAGGCAAAGGAGTAGGCTGTGACTAAGGTTTTCCTTCAAAACTCACGGCTGCTGTGAGTTACTTCTCTTGAATGACTATCCTTCATCTCTGTTAGTACAGGTCTGACCTTTAACAATCAACATAGGACAGGATTAAGACGACCAATTTTATCTCTTCACACAGTGTGTGTACAACTGGCAATACTGACTGGACCCTGATACAAATGCTGGTCAGAAAATTAAGTAATTTGGGTGGCTATTTCCAGCAGAAGCTTTAGAAAGTTCACACATTTCTTATTTTAGAGAGTAGTATACTAAGCTTTTGAAAGTTCACAAGTTTATCATTTTAGACAGTAGCATACTACAGTCTCATTTGCCAGAAGGATTTTTTAAAGCTAATTTCAGAGCTATCATTGAATTATTAAAAGCTTATATGCTTCAAACACCACATAAAATATACTGTCAGATTCTAAAATAATTCAGATACCTTACCCTGTCAATGACAAATTATTCTTTTCATTAACCACAACTTAACAAGTACAATAAAGAATTTTAAATTACAAAGTGGTTAAAATAGAAAGGGCTTTGCATTTTTTCTTTAAAAATGCTCATCTCCAGGTTTTCAAAAAAAACTTTTTAAACCAAAATATTTAACTGTTAGTTCTCCTGTATCCAATTTCGACATGGGGGGCAGGTATTCTCCACACCTCCAACAAGCAATTCTGTGACACCAGCAGGGTGTCCAAGAATTCAACTCGTTCTCACACTATCTACCTGGAGACAGCATCGGATTCCACAGGTTATAGGTTCAGTTCTACAAGACTGACTCCCTCCTCCTAACTTCAGATGCTAATCAGAATCCCAGGTTGTTACTTGTGCTTCTGACTGACCAGCTATAGGTTGAAGGTTCCAACAACCCCTTCCTTGGACTTTAATTCAAGACTCCTGTCATAAGTCCAGGTTGATAGCTATACTTCTGACCGACTGGCTATAAATCAGAGATTTCAATGACCCTTTCCACGGTTTTGACTAATTTGCTACAGCAGCTCACAGAATTCAGAGAAACATTTTTCTTCTAAGATCACCGATTTGTTATAAAAGGATGTAACTCAGGAACCAACAGTTGGAAGAGATGCACATGGCAAGGTATGGCGAAAGAGCGTGGAACTTCCATGCCCTCTCCAGGGTGCCCATCTCCCCCAAATCTCCATGTGTTCACCAACCCAGAAGCTCTCTGACCCCTGTCTTTTCAGGTCTTTATGGGGCTTCATTAGTCACGATTAATTAAATCATTGGACATTGGTGACTGATTCAACCTCCAGGTCCTCCCCACTCCCCAGAGGTCAGGAATGGGACTAAAACTCCCATCCCTGTAAATCACATGGTTGGTTCTCCTGGCAACAAGCCCCCATCCTTAGGTGGGGTCCAAAAGTCACCTCATTACCCATCTATAACAAGAGAAACCTTTGTCACACTCATCACTTAGGAAATTCTAAGGGTTTGAGGGCCTATGAGTCAGGAACTGTGGACTAGGACCAAATATACAGCAGGATCCAAAAAATACCCCCGATATATGAGAAATGTATTTTGGTCATCGCTTAAATGACCAAAATATATTTCTTCTAAGTCACAATATCACATTAACTTTCTAACATTTCCAGAACTAAACATTTTACCAACTAAAGGGGATATAAAAACTAAATGTTCAGACAATAAAAAAATAGTATTAACGCTATCCATAACATAACCTATATAAAGTATAATCAAATTTATAGTCAAATTCCTAATGAAATTAACAATAAGTACGCAAAACAAATTATTCAGTAACAAAACAATTATGATATAATTCCCAACCTTCTTCTTCCATAAACAAAATGGTCCCTAACTATATTACTTACGTAATAGAAGGATCCACTTGTTTGTAAGCATGAGCAGCACAAGACCCACAGTACGTATATCCTGCATGGCTACAAAACAAAAATTTTTAAAACTTAATCATGAGATTCAAAATCAAGATATTCTGAAAAAAAAAACTTTTGAAAGAAATATAACTATGGTAAACAACAGAATTGAGTGTATAGATTAAAAACAATGTAACTAAAGATGCAACTTCCAGAAAGTAATAGGAAACATAATTGTTCTGTGTTCCAATTTTAAAAAGTATTTTATAATTTTTTTGGTCTGAAGAAAAATTAGATTTGGAGATATCCAAGGCTTACTTGAAGTTGCTGATGTAACGCTAATAAGATATGTTTTTAACATTCCTCTTCAATAGCATTAGCAAACTATTACATAACAATGATAGGTCCAAGAGCAAGTCAAATTAGGCCAGAACAAATACCCTACAACTAAAAACTCACTTCCCTCTGTGGCTTTAGGGGTAAGATAATTGACTTGGCCTCTGTGTATGTCTTTCATTTTCTCTCTCCACTACTCATCTCTTTCATCTTCTGGTCTCAGCATCAGATTGGGTCTCTTATTATCTACAGAAGGACTGTTTCTGGAACATATTTTCTTTTCTTGACTCATTCAAGTTACATGAGTATAGAAATGTTTCCTTGGTGCTTACTTATTAGTGTGTAGCCAGTGGTATGTGGGTAATGGTTAACAGCAAGCTCTGCAGAATAAAAATGTATACATACATATACACCTGTACATAAATTTATTATAAATTTACTGAATTAAAATACACACCACATAATTTACAAATAAAGAAAAAATATATAATACTCTTTACTGTAATTTCCACATAGCCAATTGACTGTCACAGAATGCTTTTACTGATTTTAGCTGAACTCCTATCCATAGCCAAGTGATGGCTGTAACTGATAGGAATAAAACAATGAAGACATCACTTGTTCAACAATGACTTGAATAACTTCTTTGCTGTTTAGATAATAGTTTTCATATACTAGGAAGAGTATTTCCTCATTTTTTTGTGCTATTCACAATATTAAAGCTACAGACATAACATAATTTTAAGTTTAATTTGCATTATTAACCTTTCCCCATTACTTTGTTCGGTACAGAAAATTAACAAAAAATAAAGCCTTGATTTGTAGCCATTTGCCAATTAATATGGAATAAATCATTCCCACCATGGTCAATTTCAAGATGCACAGTAAATTAAAAAGACAAAAAAAAGACAGACTTGGAGAAAATATTTGTAAAGCATATATCTGCTAAAGGATTTATATCTGAACACATGAAAAATATCAAAACAAACAACCCAATACTTTAAAAAAATGGGCAACCATTTTTGCAAGACAAAAAGTTATGAAGATTGGTTATCTAACAATGAATGTATTTAACACTGTACTGAACTGTTTATATAAGTGGTTAAAAATGGTTAAGATGGTAAGTTTTATGTTCTGTGTATTTTAGCACAATTTTAAAAAATTTAAATAGGATAAGATGTGAACAGATACTTCATCAAAGAATACACAGGATTGCAAATAAGCATATGAAAGAATGCTCAACATCATTTAGTCATTAAGGAAAGGCAAATTCAAACTAAAATGATCTACCACTAAACACCAACGAGAATAGCTAAAATTAAAAACAGTGGCCATACCAAGTTTGGCAAGGATGTAGAACTGAAACTCAATATATACTTGTGGAAATGTAAAACAGTGCAACCACTTTGAAAAAGAGTTTAGCAATTTCTTAAAAAGTTAAACAAACTCTTGTATGTGACCCAAGCTATTCCATGCTGAGGGAGGGAAGGAGGAAACTAAATGACTCTCAAAAGGTGAATGGAAAAATAAATTGTGGTCTATCCATACAATGGAACATTCATCAGCAATATAAAGGAATGAACTACTGACGCACTCAAAATAATTACAGTAAAAAAAACCCCAAAAAACGTAAAAATCAATAAATAAATATGCTGACGGCAAGAAGCCAGACCAAAAAAAAAAGTTTATATTATATGATTCCATTTAAATCATTTTAGAAAATAAAAATTAATCTGTAGTGCCAGAAAGTGTATGAATGGGTGTGGAAGGAAAATTACAAAAGGGCACAAGGAAACTTTTGAGGATAATGAATATGTTCACTATCTTAATTATGGGGATGTTTTCATGGGGGCATACATATTTCAAATTTATCAAATTGTACACTTTACATATATGCAGCTGTATGTTAATTATACCACAATAAAGCGCCGTTTCTAAAATGGTCCTCATTGAACTAGCTTAAGTTATGAAGGGGGAAAAAGAGATTCACATAAGTCAATCACAGCAATACAAGATAGTAGGGTGCTGAATTAGGAGTGAAGTGATATGGGACATACACTAAGCACACTGAAATCACTGAGGGCTTTATTGGATGGATTAAGTGAAGTCACTCCTATCCAAGGGAGCCTATCAAGTTGCCCGATATAGAAATATTCTCACAACACACTTCTAATCTTAGCTGGAAGGAAATGTAGTTGTTCTACAGCTCAGCACATAGAAGTTTGCTGTCATCCTGTAGTGATCGTGATACTCTAACAGGGGCTCTATTTTATCTGGTTATGTCCCCCAATCTTCTAGCACCCAAGACCCCAGTACTGACTGCCTCAGACTCCAACACCTGTTCCTGATCTTAACATCACTGGCTCTCACTTGTCAACTCAAAAATATACTATCTTGCCTGGCCATGTGGACCTTAAAAACCATCTGATTCATCTGGATGCCCTTGTCTGTCTCAAGCCCAAACGACATCTCAGATTTTCAACACTGCTTTGCTCTCAGTTGTCACTCATATTCCATCCCTCCACTTCCCATCCTTATACTTTAAACTGGGTCTTCCATCTTTGACTTGGTTTTCAGACTTTAGATCCTATTTCCCGTTCTTGAATTTAAAGGCCCTGATGCTCCAGTCCATATTCTGGTCTCTAAATCAACCTGTCTTTCTAGTCTGAGTCTCTCCCAGTCTGACCAATCCTGTTCCAACCCAAGTTCAGTTCTTAAAAGTTAGAAAGGCCTCTGAAAAGTGAATTCTTGGGCCAGCCGAGTGGCTCGTTGGTTAAGAGTTGGCTTGGGAGCGCAAGCTCTGAGCAGCAGGGCTGCCGGTTTGAATTCCACATGGGCCAGTAACGCTGCACCCTCTACAGCTAAGATGGTGAACAACAGCTCGACCTGGAGCTGGGTTGCCATGAGACACTGGCGATGGCGTAGGCTGCAGTGGGTCTGCAGTGGGCTGCCATGAGCTACTGTGAGTGCCGGCAGACAGCATGAGTGGACAGCAGCTGCCGTGAGCCGTCATGACCACCCGACCGATGACCGGCAACCGATCTGCCTCACCCAGGAAGAGTGCAATGATCACAATACCAACATGGGACAGTGAAGCAACGTCCTCCATAACTAGACTGAAGAACAAAAGGACAGCAACTTGTCTGTTCCCCTTCCCCAATTACCCAACACTGCTCCCTCCCCAAATCCCCAATAAAATCTTTAAAAAAAACAAAACGTGTTAATTCTTGAAGTATGGGAAGGACAGAAACAGTAAGGGTAGTAGGGCAAGGGCACAAAGGAAGGGCATGAAGGCTGAAGAAAGAAGATGAACAAATGTCCAAGTGCATGATGTAGAAGAGAAAATATGAGCCTGTCCTGAGTGGAATGAGAGAGTAATGCTAAGCCAAGTCAGACAGGAGTCTGGGCTTCATAACACAAGTTACTGGAAAACTGCTATACCCTCTTGAGCAAGGCACTGCTAACGGGGAACTGTTATTGGTCTAATACTGAAAAACATGAGCAGAAAGGACACACTAGAAGCAGAAAGTGTTAAGTGAAGCTCTCTTTGAAATGGTGGCATGAGGTAGTAATGTCATGGTCAAGAATGATCTCAGTAGCAGTGAGATGAGAAATGAATGCTCTAGAGTCTAAAAAGAAAAACTGACATATCTTAGTAACCAAGTAGGCATAGGAGGATGAGGAGGGGGATAGTTGTGATAATGGTAATAACTCACATTTACTCAGTGCTTACTCTGTGTCAGGCACTCCTCTATGTAACTCAAAGCATTAACTCATTTAATCTTCACACCAACCCTATGAGATGGCAATTATTTTTTTTCTCATTTTGTAGATGAAGACACTAAAGCAGAAAGGTTAAGAAACTTGCTCAAGGTCACACAGATACTAAGTAGCCTCCCCATGACTTAAAGTCAGGCAACAGAGCTCCAAGAACCCATTTTTAACCACCAAAGAAATCTTTACATATTTGAAGAGAGAAAGGAAGAAGTCTATGGAGTAGGAAAAGCAACAAGCCTAAAACCTGGAAGAATACTTACAGAACCATATATCCTATAAGACTACAGGAAAGGCAGGCAGTTTTGAAACCATGATTGAGGTAAACATGTTTTATAACAGAACTCAGATTTCATGGTTTGTCTTTTTGAAGTTGAAGACTTAAAAGTCTGCTTGAAGTAAAGACAAAAATATTAGGTTGTCGGAAAAGTCATGACGTATTTTTTCGTTGCAAAAATGTGTCATGAGTTTTCCAACAACCCAATAGTTGCAAAAAGAGATTCTTAGTTTGGAGAGAACACACTGCAAAGCATTAAAAAAAAAAATCACTAAGGGGCCGGCTGAGTGGCACATTGGTTAAGAACTGGCTTGGGATGCCAGAGGGCCCCGGTTTGGATCCCACATATGAGGGCCAGTGACACTGCCCTCTACAGCTAAGATGCTGA